CCCCAGCTCACCCCAGTGCTACTGGCTCTAGGCCCCAGGTAGATCTCTAATGCTTCAGGCAACTTACTTGGGTCCAAGATTCCAGTGAGCCCTCATGAACCTCGTCTGCTGATCTACCCTGGATTATGTTGGCTTCCACAGCTCCAGGCAGCTCCTGTGGCCCCAGAATCCTGACAGGCTCCTTCAACCTTAAGCAGCTCCCATGTCACCAAACTTCCAGGGTGATCCCATGAATTTAGCCTCCCAGTTTATCCAAGCAGCAGCTTCTCCTGAGGTTGGAGCACCACCCTTGGTACCAGGTTCCCTGTCAGCCTGGCCAACCCAGGCTCCAGGCCGTGTCTTCAGGAAGTTCACATTCTAGTGGGACCTTGCCTCTCTTGTTTTTTTCACAGCTGTATTTCCAGCACTCACCAGAGTGTTTCACACATAGGCCCTCAACAACTGTTTGTACCATAAATAAATTATATCAGTGAATAGGCCAACAAGTCAATCATATATTGTACACTACAAGTGTCATAAAGAATACAAGCAGGAGCATGGAACAAAAAGAGAGAGAGAGAAGAGGAGACCTATTTAAATATCATTCTGGGGAGCCTGGGTGGCTCAGCTCGTTAAGCGTCCGACTCGACTTCAGCTCAAGTCATGATCTCATGATTTGGTTCGTGTGTTTAAGCCTTGTGTGGGATTCTCTCTCTTGGGATTCTCTTGGGATTCTCTCTCTGTATCTCTCTCTCCATCCTTCCCCTGCTGTCTCTCTCCTTCTCTCTCTCTCTCTCTCTCTCTCTCTCAAAATAAATAAACTTAAAAATAAATAAATAGATAAATAAATAAATAATAAAAATTATCATTTTGTCTTTGGACACTTAAGAAGCAGTACTAGGCTTCATAACTTCCTATGCAGGATGAGTATACTCCATGCAGACTCTAGCTACCTATATTGTCATCCTACCAGATACTAAAACTGAGATAATTGAGAATGAGGGTGAAAGATGAGTGTTAAATTTTAAGTTTACTTATGAATTTTGTGGAAATTAATGGACTATGTAGGCATATAATGAGAATATTGGAAGTACGGAAATGGATTAAATATGCAAAATATATAAATATATAAAATATTTTATCTGATTTAGTACAGTTATTTAAATGAAAAATTTCCCAAAGGCATAAAACTGGACTCACTGAGTATAATTAAAAAACAAAACAAAAATATTACACTGATGGTTTGGGGATGGGGCTGGGGGGATGGGTGAAATAGGTGATGGTGATTAAGGAGTG